CACCGGGCCAATACACCCCGCATACGACTGACACCGGACCTGACACCCTGCATACGCCGACAGACACCCAGGATCATACACCCCTCATACCGACACTGACACCTGAACACCGGAATCATACACCCCAGCATACGACTGACACCGGGCCAATACCCCGCAGACCACCTGACACGGGAATCATACTCCCCGCATACCGACTGTCACCACGGGATCATACACCCACGCATACCGACTGACACAGATCATACACCCCGCATACCGACGACACCGGAATCAACACCCCGCATTAACCTACCCGGACCTGGAGCACCGGGCCAGTAGCACCCCGCATACCGGACACCTGACACCGGCGCCATACCAACCCCCGCATACCGACGGCTGACACCGGGTGATCATACCACCCCGCATACCGACGACCTCTGACCAACGGGCCATACACCCCGCATACTCCGACTGACACCGGGCCATACACCCTCCGCCCGACACCCGGCCATACTACCCCCGCATCTGACACATACCGCCATACCGTCTGACACCGGGCCATACCACCCCGCATACCGGCTGACACCTGGCCATACACCCCGCATACCTTCTGACACCAGGGCCATAACACCGGCCATACACCCCGCATACCGACTGACAACCGGCCATACACACCCGCTGACACACCGGGCCATACACCCCCGCATACCAACGACTTACACCGTATAACACGCATGAACGACCTTACACCGGGCCATACACCCCGCATACCGACTCACTGGGACACCGGGCCACTACCGACCCTACCCGGCAGCATACCGACGACTTCAGACACCGGGCCAACATACACCCCGCATACCGACGACTGACACGTCACCCGGGCCATTACACCCCGCATACCGACGACTGACACCGGGCCATACACCGGGCCATACACACCCGCCATACACCCCGATACCGACTGACACCGGATCATACACCCCGCATACCGTACATAACCGACTGACACCGGGCCATACACCCCGCATACCGGACTGACACCGGGCCATACACACCGCATACCGGCTGACAACCGGGCCATACACCCCGCATAACCGACTGACACCGGGCCATACACCCCGCATACCAACACCTGACACCGGATCATACACCCCACATACCGACTGACACCGGAATCATACACCCCGCATACCAACCCTGACACCGGGTTCATACACCCCGCATACCAACACCTGACACCGGGCCATACACCCGCATACCAACACCTGACACCGGATCATACACCCCGCATACCGGCTGACACCGGGCCATACACCCCGCATACCGGCTGACACCGGGCCATACACCCCGCATACCGGCTGACACCGGCCATACACCCCGCATACCGGCTGACACCGGGCCATACATAACCCGTCCCCCGCATACCGACGACTGACACCGGGCCATACACCCCGCATACCGACGACTGACACCGGGCCATACACCCCGCATACCGACGACTGACACCGGGCCATACACCCCGCATACCGACGACTGACACCCGGGCCATACACCCCGCATACCGACGACTGACACCACCGGATCATACACCCCGCATACCGACTGACACCGGGCCATACACCCCGCATACCGACTGACACCGGCCATACACCCCGCATACCGACTGACACCGGATCATACACCCCGCATACCGACACCTGACACCGGGCCATACACCCCGCATACCGACGACACCGGGCCTACACACCGGGCCATGACACCCCGCATACCGACACCTGACACCGGGTCCATACCCCGCATACCGACTGACACCGGGCCATACACCCCGCATACCGGCTGACACCGGCCATACACCCCGCATACCGGCTGACACCGGGCCATACCACCCCGCATACCGGCTGACACCGGCCATACACCCCGCATACCGGCTGACACCGGGCCATACACCCCGCATACCGGCTGACACCGGGCCATACACCCCGCATACCGACGACTGACACCGGCCATACACCCCGCATACCGACGACTGACACCGGGCCATACACCCCGCATACCGACGACTGACACCGGGCCATACACCCCGCATACCGACGACTGACACCGGGCCATACACCCCGCATACCGACACTGACACCGGGATCATACACCCCGCATACCGACTGACACCGGGCCATACACCCCGCATACCGACGACTGACACCGGATCATACACCCCGCATACCGACTGACACCGGGCCATACACCCCGCATACCGACTGACACCGGATCATACACCCCGCATACCGACTGACACCGGATCATACACCCCGCATACCGACACCTGACACCGGGCCATACACCCCGCATACCGACACCTGACACCGGGCCATACACCCCGCATCATACCGACGACTGACACCGGGCCATACACCCCGCATACCGACGACTGACACCGGGCCATACACCCCGCATACCGGCTGACACCGGGCCATACACCCCGCATACCGGCTGACACCGGGCCATACACCCCGCATACCGGCTGACACCGGGCATACACCCCGCATACCGGCTGACACCGGGCCATACACCCCGCATACCGGCTGACACCGGGCCATACACCCCGCATACCGGCTGACACCGGGCCATACACCCCGCATCACCCTGACACCGGCCATACACCCCGCATACCGGCTGACACCGGGCAATACACCCGCAGTACACTCCCCCCCCCCCCCCCCCCCCCCCCAGTGCTCCTGAGGCACAACCCCCCTCCCCCTCCCAGCAGAGATCTAGGAAGGCGATTGGTCGGTCTTACCGCCTTGTACTGGAAGCTTTAAAGTTGCGCCAGCTCGTCGCGGGTCTCAGATTTGTGGGCGTGGCCCCTGCCAGTGGTCCGGCATGTAGTGGATGTGAGCCAACACGCACTGCAGCAGCTGCTCCGGGCACCACACCATGTGCTCATCCGGGATGAACGACCTGCGGGGGGAGGAGCTTATGAGAACACACCCACACCCAATGGCACCCCTCCCCTTGCCCCGCCCCTCACCTGGCGATGGTGACCAGGACCCCGAGGACAGTGATGGCGGTCAGGATATGCTGCACGGTCAGGACATCCTCGTCATACACGGTCAGAGCGATGAGGACGGCCAGGATGGATCCAGCGAAGAAGGCCAGGTTCTTGGCCGCGATGGCCAGCAGGGGGAGGCGAAGGAGTTCATGTACTTGGTGGCCGGTTTGTAGCCGCGGCTCAGCCGCGCCTGCAGCTCGTGGGGTCAGCTCGTTGAAGTGGCGCAGGTAGAGGCGGCCGTACAGCGACCAGCGGCGGGCCCCCAGGCTCCCCGGTTCCCTCTTGATGACCTCGGTGTAGCTGAAGAAGGCGTAGAGGATCTGCCACACCAGGATGAAGGGGCACAGGACCAGATTGGCCAATCCCAGGAGGACGATGGTGCGGCTCAGCTCCTGCGCCAGCTCCAGCCCTCTGCCCCGGGACGTTTGTATTTGGGTTGGAGGTTCCATTTGTTCTGGAAGAGCGAGCCGGGGCCCCCAGAAGAACAGCAGCTCCAGGTTGTACTTCAGCCCCTGACTGAGGAAGGTCACCTCCCCGACCAGCGGCGGGTGGAAACGCACCGGCAGGAGGCTCTTGTTCACCATGGCAACCATGTAGTTCTTGAAGCGCAGGATCCGGTGGGTAGATGTCCAGCTCAGTCAGCTCCTTCTTGTGGACGCACATCGGGTGTTCCCGCTGCAGGGAGATCAGGCGGCCCTGCACCTCCTGCCAGCTGTAGTTACACAACTCCTCCTGTAGGGGGGGGAGGGGGTCAGAGGACTGCCGCCTGAGGACTGCCTACGTCTGGCCTGAGGACTCCTCCCACTGACAGCGATGACGAGGGCCGCTCCTCCCGCTGACACCAATGAGGGGGGCGCCGCTCCTCCCGCTGACACCAATGAGGGGGGCGCTATTCCCCCCCACTGACACCAACGAGGGGGGCGCTATTTCTCCCACTGACACCAATGACGATGGGGCGCTATTCCTCCCACTGACACCAATGACGGGGCGCTATTCCTCCCACTGACACCAATGACGGGGCGCTATTCCTCCCACTGACACCAATGACGGGGGGCGCTATTCCTCCCCACTGACACCAATGACGGGGCGCTATTCCTCCCACTGATACCAATGACGGGGCGCTATTCCTCCCCCACTGACACCAATGACGGGGCGGCTATTCCTCCCCTGACACCAATGATGGGGCACTATTCCTCCCCACTGACACCAATGATGGGGCACTATTCCTCCCCCACTGACACCAATGATGGGGCACTATTCCTCCCCCACTGACACCAATGATGGGGCACTATTCCTCCCCCACTGACACCAATGATGGGGCACTATTCCTCCCACTGACACCAATGATGGGGCACTATTCCTCCCACTGACACCAATGATGGGGCACTATTCCTCCCACTGACACCAATGATGGGGCACTATTCCTCCCACTGACACCAATGATGGGGCACTATTCCTCCCACTGACACCAATGATGGGGCACTATTCCTCCCACTGACACCAATGATGGGGCACTATTCCTCCCACTGACACCAATGATGGGGCACTATTCCTCCCACTGACACCAATGATGGGGCACTATTCCTCCACTGACACCAATGATGGGGCACTATTCCTCCCACTGACACCAATGATGGGGCACTATTCCCCCACTGACACCAATGATGGGGCACTATTCCTCCCACTGACACCAATGATGGGGCACTATTCCCCCCACTGACACCAATGATGGGGCACTATTCCCCCCACTGACACCAATGATGGGGGCACTATTCCTCCCACTGACACCAATGATGGGGCACTATTCCTCCCACTGACACCAATGATGGGGGCACTATTCCTCCCACTGACACCAATGATGGGGCACTATTCCTCCCACTGACACCAATGATGGAGCACTATTCCACTGACACGAGGGGATCAATGATGGGGCACTATTCCTCCCAGTGACACCAATGATGGGGCACTATTCCTCCCACTGACACAATGATGGGGCGCTATTCCTCCCACTGACACCAATGATGGGACACTATTCCCTCCACTGACACCAATGATGGGGCACTATTCCTCCACTGACAGCAATGATGGGGCACTATTCCTCCACTGACACCAATGATGGGACACTATTCCCCCCACTAACACCAATGATGGGGCACTATTCCTCCCACTGACACAATGATGGGACACTATTCCTCCCAGTGACACCAATGATGGGGGCACTATTCCCCCACTGACACCAAATGATGGGGCACTATTTCCCCCCACTGACACCAATGATGGGGCACTATTCCCCCACTAACACCAATGATGGGACACTATTCCTCCCACTGACACAATGATGGGACACTAGTCCTCCCACTGACACCAATGCCGGGGGCTGTACTAGTCCTCCCACTGGCACCAATGATGGGGCGCTATTCCTCCCATGACACCAATGATGGGACACTATTCCTCCCAGGACACCAATGATGGGACACTATTCCTGCCCACTGACACCAATGATGGGGACTATTCCTCCCACTGAGGGCGCAAATGGGGGACACTATTCCTCCCACTGGGTCACAATGATGGGGCACTATTTCCTCCCACTGACACCAATGATGGGGCACTATTCCTCCCACTGACACCAATGATGGGGCACTATTCCTCCCACTGACACCAATGATGGGGCACTATTCCCCCACTGACCCCAATGATGGGGCACTATTCCTCCCACTGACACCAATGATGGGGCACTATTCCTCCCACTGACACCACCCACACTCACCGAGGGGATCTTCCCCCGTGGATGTAGAACTTGCGGATCTCCCAGTAGCTCAGCAGGTTACAGAACATCTTGATGAGACGATAGATCCAGAAGATGGCGGCCATGACCAGGGGAAGATTGATCCATCCGCTGGATCTGAATCCTGCAGAGAGAGCGCATGATGAGGGTATCGAGGGGGAGGGGCACAGATGGGGGGGAGGGCACAGATGGGTGTTTATGGGGGGGGGAGGGGGTCAGTTATAGTGAACCCGACATATACCGCCACGGGAAGGCTGGCTATATCGGGGGAGGTGCGGGCAGAACACGGGAGTCCATACTGACATCTGATTGGCTAATCAGTCCCACCACTCAGACACGTTTCGGGGACTCAGACTCTTCCTCGGGGGGGGTGGGACTCTTCCTCGGGGGTGTGGCCGGATGGACTGTACATTGCCGCAGCCAATGGAGTCCGGCCATATCACATGTTCCCCAATGTGGGGGAAGGGGGCCCTCAATACTAACCCTCCTCCTGCCCCTCCCCCCGCCTGGGACTTACCGGAGGGCGCACTGCTGGGGCAGGCAGGGATGGCGTCGGTCAGGGTCACCTTGTTGCGCTCAGGACCGGCCCCCCGCGTGTGTCGTGTGATTGACGGGTTTGTTGGCGAATAGAACATCGTATTCCACGCAGTGAAAGAGGAAGGTGGTGAAGGTGACAACAAACAGGAACTGCCTGCCGAGGGCGGGAGAGGATACAACACGGGGTCAATTCTCCTTCCGTCCAACCCCACCCCCCAGGGGTCTCCCCTCCCCCCCCCCCTCAGACATCCCCTCCCCCACCCCCCATCGTCTCCCCTCCCCCCCCCCCTCATTTCAATGCCCTCCCCCCCCCCCTCAGACACTATACACATGCAGGGGTCCCCCCCCCCCCCCCTCAGACACTATACAATGCAGGGGTCCCCCCCTCAGACACTATACAATGCAGGGGTCCCCCCCCCCTCAGACATTATTACAATGCAGGGGTCCCCCCCCCCCTCAGGACACTATACAATGCAGGGGTCCCCCCCCCCTCAGACACTATACAATGCAGGGGCCCCCCCCCCCCTCAGACACTATACAATGCAGGGGCCCCCCCCCCCCCCCTCAGACACTATACAATGCAGGGTTCCCCCCCCCCCCTCAGACACTATACAATGCAGGGGTCCCCCCCCCCCCTCAGACACTATACAATGCAGGGGTCCCCCCCTCAGACACTATACAATGCAGGGGGTCCCCCCCCCCCTCAGACACTATACAATGCAGGGGTCCCCCCCCCCCCTCAGACACTATACAATGCAGGGGTCCCCCCCTCAGACACTATACAATGCAGGGGTCCCCCCCCCCCCCCTCAGACACTATACAATGCAGGGGTCCCCCCCCCCTCAGACATTATACAATGCAGGGGTCCCCCCCCCCCTCAGACATTATACAATGCACCCCCCAGACCCTATCAAAGAGGGTCCCCCCCCCCCCCAGACATTTTTCAATGCCCGGGGTCCCCCCCCCCCCCAGCATTAACAAGCAGGGGTCCCCCCCCCCCAAAATATACAATGCAGGGGTCCCCCCCCCCCAAA